ATGGGGGTGAGTAGAAAATGAAGGCTAATCATGTTTTGGGTGTACTATTCCTTTAAGAGTCCCTGCCTGTAGATTGAACTGCTATAAGAAGTCATTTGTTCTGCTTTCCAGAACAAATGAGGCAATAAACAGTATCAAGCAGTAAATTGTGGAATAGACAATGGTGTTCAAAATTTAAACTAAACTGACATGTTTTTTTTATGTATTCATTATCGCACATAACAGATTTTTAAGGAAGGGTTTTTGTACATTTTTTCACAATTTTTTTTATTGTGAATGTAATGTAACATCCTTCCTTATGTATTTATTTATTTATTGTCTTATTATGGATTTTTTTATAGCAGTGTTTTTCTTTTTGGTGTGAATGCAGTGTGACACATAGTTTGGACTATGTAGCAGTCAGTCTGTACACAAATCAATTCATTTGGGACAATAAAGTTAATCTTAAATTATCTTATTTTATGTGCGCAACAAATGGGTGAAATGAGTTTTTCTGCAGTTGTTAAAAGCAACAGATGAAAATCTCAGCTTTCTAAACATTGGTTAAAGGGGTTCAGTTGTGTTTTTAACTGTTTTGAATAATCTTTTATACAAATCAAACCATTAAGAGAAAGACAGAAGTCAAAATATCACAAACATAAAGCAAATGTTTGTTTTGTTTTTTGTTTAGAAAACACGCTCAGCGCACAAAAAAATCATTTTTCCTCTGTTTCCACAGTAGACTGCTTCAAACGGGATTTTAAATGAATTAAAAACTATGTAACTTTTTATTCCAAAATCTTCAAATCTCCCTTTTTATTCTAAACAGCTTGAAAAACTAAGTACAATAAGAAAAGTTTAATTTACTTACTTTGTTTCAGTGTTTGAGAAATGGGGATTTTTTTCTATCTACCCCCTTGCTGGTTTAGGGGGGGCAGTTTTCAGATCCATTTTCTGTGTAGCTGCCCCTTGTAGAACAGTTACGTTGCATCCCCAGAATGCAGAAAAAAGCTTTATTCCACTTTTCAGAACATCATTTGTTAACACAGGGCGCAGGTTTAAAACACTCCTCTTTTATCCCCTGTCTGTTTTGGCTGTACACCTTTCCTTTCAGAGAAAACTGACGCTCCAAAGCAGCACCTTACTCCGGGGGGGAAAAAAACCCTCAAAAAAACAAAAACAAAACAAAAAAACAAACAAAAACAGCCAAATAATCCGCGCGCGGCAGTGGCGCACGGATCTCCAAATGTGGATCTGTTTTAAAAGAGTCTCCCGTTATCTCCGCGACGCAGATTTGGATTCCTTTTCTTCCCAAATCCACCTCATAGGAGCTGGGGGTGGGGAGACAGGAGTCAGCTACCCCCCTCTCTCTTCTCTACTCGAGTTTGAGGCAGAGGAGGGGAAAAGAAGCACAGAACCCTTGTGTTGCGTTCAGTGTCACCCAAATAAACTAGACGGTAGGTTGTAACTCACATCTCGGTGCGTTCAAAAGCATATCAGTCGACTCGGAAATTTAAACTCCTGTGCTCGTATAAAAGACTATTTCTGAGATTTGTATGTATGCACATATACAAATCTCAGAAATAGTCTTTTATACAAGCACAGGAGCACAGGAGTTTAAATTTCCGATATGTATATATGTTGTAAGCTTCTCATATATGTATGTGTATATATATATATATATATATATATATATATATA